ATTTTTATTCATATATTTCTTTCACTGTCTGCACTTTATGTTTACTACTTTAATTTCAATCTGTTACTCGTGCTAGCAGAACCAGTTCCAGGTAGGTTATTACTATACATTGCTCACACTCAGTGTGACTTAGGGCATTTCAGGGTTGCCTACAGAAAGGCACAAAAATCAACAGCCTTCAAAAGCATTTTTTTCTCACACTATCTCCTCCTACTGACACTTTCATTATGCTCAATTAACCAGACAGGACCTAAATGGTTGTTTTCCATCACTGATTTATTATTTATAGACTAATAGAGATTTATAGATGAATACCACCATGATAGAGATGCCTTGAGAAAGGCATCCCTAAAAGGTAGGAAAGAGCAACTAAATGCCTGGGGTTGCTTTTCTGAAGGGACTGCTAGCTCAGCAGCACTCCTATTACAGACCACTGATGGAACTACAACTCTTGCATGGGGAATACACTCTGGAACATGCAGATCTAAAAGCTATTGGCTTCAACAAGAGGGCAGAAATCAACTACCAAGATGGGGGGAAAAAATCTCTTCATTTCTATAAAAAATCTCTTCATTTCTATAAAAGATATAGACAAATAGTGAAAGTTTCTTATCTAGATAACCAAAAAATTTGGCATCTTTTTAATGTTAGTTATATTATTTTCTCCAAGAAAGATATGGCTGTCTCATTTATGTTAAAAAGCATTACCTTAAACATTTTCATTTAGGCATAAAAAATGATCAAAAATATTCTCGCTTCAAAGCAATGTTCTGCCAGCAGTATTTCGAGTAAAATTTTGCTTCCCTTTGGCAATGACACTCATTTTTAATCATGCAAGTAAAGATCTTCAATAAATGAAGTACTCTTAGTAAGGAATAAACTATAGTATATATTTATATATGTATACTATATATAGTCTATATACTATATATAATGTGTGTATATAGATAGTCTATATACTATACAAGCATAAACCAGCACCTTTTTCATGGCTTTCTTTCTATAATGGGTAATTTGTGCAAGTGCGAGGCCAGATCCTCCCTTGCATTAGAATCAGCAATACAAATTCTGTTAGCCTGCTGAAACTCTGTCTTATCATATTGCAAATGAAATTAAAGTCTATGCAACAAATGCTGGAATATTCATATCTGTTATACTGCCTCATTCCTCTTAGTACACAGATTTGACTGGCTAGTAACAAATCCCAGATGCCTTCCTTGATATCTCCATATTACCAGCAGGAGCTTCTGCTTTGAAAACCACCGCAACTCCGAGAGCCGGCGCATCCCTTACTTCCCACCACTCACAAGCTGCATTTGTGGCTTCTGGAGTTGACATTAGAGCCATTATGCAGATGAAGGCACTGATCATCAAGTCCAATTCTGATGTTGTCTCCTAAAAGCCTCATGATTTTATTTTGAATAAAGCTCTTCCATCTCACAGAAAAGGCTCTTACAGAAAGTCCCTGGGGCCGCCTTTATCATCTCCCCTCACTCCAATTTCTGTACTTTCTCAAATACACACACACGCACACAAAAAGGAATTATTTCTATAAACTGATTTGCCACTGAACAATACTCTTGGCTTCCCAAAGATTCAAACACTTATATTTACAATTCTCCCAGGAAATTAATCAAATCACACCATTTTTTCAGGAGTTACTGAATAAGCTCCTTGGGAGATATGTTTAATTCTGTCAGACTTCACATGCAGCTTTAGGCAACCACCTCCTCCCACTGTGCTCTGCAACCAAATATTTATACAGTTTTTCTGTTATGTGTTTTGTCTGTAGAGGCTGCATCCTTTTTTGGGGTGAAGACTCAGTTTATACCATGCCTACCATAAGGCTGCCCCAAGTTTTGCTAGCACAAACATAACACTGAATGCCCAAGAGACGAACTGGTTATATATGTATACACACCTTCCTGCACCATTTGAAATACCCAAAATTCTCCCCTGCCATTAGTCATACAGAATATCCTGGAGTTCACTGAGAGCAAACAGGGATTGCAATGGAGTTTCATTTTTGCCCGCTCTGATCCATGCTGCAGGTCTGAGAGGTGCAGCAAGAGGCTCCGCATTGCGGGTTGTAAGGGAGTAGATCGTCTTGCTTCTACAGCAGGTCTTCAAACATCTGCATTTCATATCAGAACTGTTATTTTACCCTGATCTTTTGAAGACTATTTTTTCAAGTCTCTTCTCATTATTCTAAATTGCATCATATGGTAAACATTAAAAAAACAGATAAGAAAACAAACAAAAAGACTTCTCCGTTGGGTTTTGCTCTCTTTTGTAACTTGTTCAGTACACTGAAACACGGCTTGCTTGTAACAGAAAAGAACATTTTCTAGAGGGAATCTAACACAATTTCATAGAGGAAAAGCTACCTGCAAACAGGCAAGAGAAACTAGTGTTTGTCAAGGTCTTCTAGACCTTGACTTCTAGACCTTGACCTTCTAAGATAGGTGCAGTGGTCCACCTATCTAGAAAAATGGGGGGGGGGGAAGAGGGGGAAATGTAAAGCATAACTAAAATATCCTGATTGTAATCACTAGGCAGGTAGATGATAAATATACTCCTAAAGGACCAAGTACACTGTAAAGAAAATGGAATGCCCTGGAGTTTGACAATGGGTTAAAAATAACTGGTCTGTTGGGTTGGAAGTTCAAGCTACATGCATTCATAACAGCTACAGTATTTGCTTTTCTACATAACTTTACAGAACTAGTTAAAAGGAAATATCCTTCTAAAAGCTCAGATCACTAACATTTTCATTCTCTGTTAACGTGCTAGCTTCACTGGAAACAAACATGTTGCCCTTTTGCAGGGTCTTCCTGTTAGTAACAGTTGCACATAAATAAAGTTTTCTAAACAAACATCTTATCTTTTTATGGAAGGAAGTCCATTAATAAGGAATTGACGTCCTTCCCTGAAAAAAAAAGCCAATTCTTTCCCATAAACTAAAGAAATAAACTTACACCCTGAGCTTTCTTACTCTATTTTCACAGCAAAATGGATAGTCTGCACGTAGATAAAATGGAACTGTTTGGGTTTTGATGTAAACAGTATTCCTGTTGCTACCTTGTCACATAATACTAAAGCATTAACCTTTTCCCTTCGTTTCTGATTGCTTCATGACACTCGTGCTTCAATCCAAGCATACGCCTCACACGTCTGGTTGGAACTGCACAGCGCGTGAGCGACTTCCAGACGGGGAGCCTGGGAGGCACCTAACAGCGGATTAATATTTTGAACTGTGTAACTGTTTGCTCAAGATGCTCTTTACCCAACAAAAGCCGGATAAAAGAAGAGTCAGATGAACTCCAGCCACTGTGCTTTTATTTTACAACACTTCATTGACTTGGCTGGTTACGCAAGAGGCTCTTTTTGCCTCAAACAAACTTAATTATGGAAAACAGTGACGCCATCTCATCTGTTTTCCTTCTTCAAATTAGCTTTTCCTTGAGACTAAGAGAATAAATTCAAAGTTTACATGGCACTGTAGGCTACCTGTGACAAACAACATGAAAAAACCCAGCACTTTTGTCCATCTGAAACAATGCTGAAAATAGGAATGGCAGCAAATTTAGCAACTGTTTAGCTTTTCAATGTTTTCATACAACACTATTTAAAATGCCAGTGCCATACTATATGAAGATAAGCCCAAGAGCAGAACAGCACAAGAGAGTCTGAAACTACTACACTTATATAAACTTAAAAAGCCCTGTTCTTACAGAAACATCTATTTATCTTAAGTACATTTAATGTTTAGCTCTAGGGGACACCAGAAACTGTATTAAAATATTTCCAGTCAGAAATTCAAGAGTATTAAAAAAAAAACCCAAACATTGCAAAGTAAAAAACTAATTTCTCTTGCACTGCATCTATGAGTAATAAATTCAGAAGGCAACTATGCAGACTCAGAAAGATAACTAAATGCCCTTATATCCCAGCAACTGCACTATTAGCTACCTTAAGAATGGGAAAATAAGATTCCAGAACCTGAGTCCAGGCTGAGATGATATGAATTGCTCATATTTGAGAGACATGAATTTAAAAATATCCGAAGTTGCACATTAACATTGCTTACACAATACCCCACTATTAGATTACGCACTCTATAGGCCAAAGAAAAAAGGACAGGGAGTCAGATGGAGTGCCAGGCTTCTCTTCACCCGTAACACTGAAATCAAAGACTACTCCCTGGTTCTTTTTTGTACAAATAGTGTTTTCTGCTTTCTCCAAGACAAACCTGCATAGAAGTGACAAGTCCTAAGCAGTGCATGCTCAGCCATATCCCATTGCCTCAAAGTTTGGAACTAACTGCTGTCCCTTGTATTTAGCATCTACATGAAGCTTTATATACTGATCTGGAAAATTTTCAGCAGTGTTTACAGTATAATACATTTGCTGATAGAACCAAGCCATGATGTGTTATGCATACATGTAATAACATACGTTTGACACTGTAAAAAAACCAATGCCTTCTTTTTCCCAGAAAATCCTCCTTTCAGAACGTGAGGTCCCCATTTTCCATCCTTTTAAAAATCTAATTCTGGTTGAATGTGTTAAGAAACAGTGACTTTTTTAAAGAGGCAAAATAAAGTATTACTTTATAACAGATCACCTGGCCCAGCTCAAAAAGCTGGGCAGACCGACTGTCCCACTGCAGCACTGAAAAGAGGGTTTGAGGAACATCCTGACAAGTATCTGGGCAAAACGATGTACTGAGGATATATATCAGTTATTGGAAGAGTCACCTATTTTCCAGGGCTGTCGTGGCCAATAGAGATATTTAGTAACTTACATAATTCTCAGCTTGAATGTGAGGAAAGCTTGAGGCAATACTGAACAGGCTCAATCAATATGTTGAAAACTCCAGGACTTTTGGTAATTTATTTTCTAAAATGGAAAGTTTCAGTGTGCTAGAGGTAATGGCTAGCCCTGACTTGCAGCAGGTCCGTTTAGCCAGGAAACACCCCGCGTGGTGACACCGCTACCTGTGCTCTTGTCTTCTCCTGGCCTCTCGTCTCCACGTGCTGCAAGGGCGGCGTCGCCACGGGCGGCGGAGGAGCTCTGCGCTTCTTCCCTTCGGGGTTTGCTGTCATTCCCGAGATGTTACCAAGGGACAGGGATGGGCCCAAGGTATTGGAACGTGAATTCACCGAAGGGGAATTTGGTGCTGTGGAAAAACCCTGTAAATGGATGAACATCTTGGATTAGCATCACTTTTTAAAAACAATGGAAAAGAAAGAAGAAAAACAAGACACATCTGGTTACCGTTTAAACAATGATATGAATAATCATGTACGTTCCTCTGCCAAACTCGCTGCATTGCAAACTGTAACTTTTAGATACTTTTAAAGGTCAACTGGAACAAAGACTACAGGCAATATTACTAAGTAAGAAGGCAGCAGGAGAACCTACTTGGTTCTACAGCACCAGTGATGGGAACAATACCCCTGCTTGCTGTTTAAAGTATATCCTTCATCTAGAGCCTTCATTAAGGTCTTTTTTTTTTTTTTTTAATTACAAGAACTATATTTCTGAAAGTGAGGCTTAGATCAGTATATTAACCATAGCCTGTATCCCAGGTGTTAATTTTACTATCAAACTATCTCATTTACCTGATTCTGCTCTGCAGATTTATGTAAGAGAAATTGGCTAAAAAGAACAACTGAATCTGGCCTAAGACATATCTACGGCTGATACCACTCTGGATTTAAACATGTCCCTATAAAAGGAGAAGCAACAGATAATTCCTTAAGGTTAAAATAACTTTTCAGTTCTTATTCAAAACTTAACAAAAATCAATGAAAAGATTTTTACAGATTTCACTAGTTTGAGATCAGAGCCTTAATATATTTTTATGTTGGTATACAAGTAAATACAATATGTACTTAAAGCCCACAAACCGGAAACACTAGGAAACAAGATTTCCTGAAATTGTGCACTTTTATTTCAGTTGGAGGCTAATTCAGTTCCATTACAGTTTTGCATCTGCTTTTGGAGAGCTAGCAAATACTCAGCCCTCAAAAACTGTTGATCATAGCCCTTATTTTTCAGTAAAAGAAGTTTCATAGAATTTCTTTTTTACCTAAGTTGTCATTCTACACAGTTTTGTGACATCAAACAATTCTGGGCTGAAGGAGGATATACCATTGCACTTTTAAAGCTCATCTGTGCAGGATATAATGCTTTCAGGTGGAATTCTGTCATCCAGTACATACTTCCAGGAATTAGAGGCCCCCCACAAAGCTCCTCTCTTTCCAAATGGAGATTTCCTTGACTTTAAACTCTCCAGATTGAGAAACCTGCACATACGTATTTAACTTTCAGAATATCCTATTTAAAGAAGTTGTTATACACTCAAAAAGCATGCATGTACTATTTTCACTAGCTCAGGGAAGGAAATGAATGATACGTGCAAAGGCAGCCACACAACTTAATGCCCAGCAGGAGAGCATCCAATATGACCGAGATAAGGAACAGATTCACTGCAAGTTGCTGTAACCCCTCACCTCACAGAGGCTACATCAGTTTTGGACATCTGTTGGTAGCCCAGGCGGTTACCAAGGCCTGGGATGGGAAGACAGAGCGGATTTATTCCCCACAGGAAGGGTTATCTCCACCTCAGGACTCCGAATCGCATTTGTGAATCGGGCAGATTCCAAATGCTGCGTATGTTTTTCCTATTTGTGAGAGGAGAAGCATGTTTTTCATGGCTGCCGGCCCGGTGCTTTGCACCGGCGCTGGTTTTACACTTCAAGCAAGAGTTCTGATAGTAATTAGCACATCTTGACCAACAGCACACACAAAAAGAATTCATACAGGCATTAAGAGCAGAAGAGCAGAACGCAGGGGATACAAAGCACAGGCACAGCAATAGCATCGTGCCTGGAAAACACTCCGTCTCTGTGGTACGGTTCCTTCATTATTGTGGTGGATGTGGGAAATCATGGAACAACACGGTTAATTCCTCTCTGCTACAGACAAGAAAAGTCTTAGGTAAAAAACAATGGGGCAGCAGGCCTAAAAAGTCAATTCACTTAATATTAGGATCGTTGCAAAAGCACTAATGAGGTGTAAACAGCTTGAAAAAAATATAGCAAGGCAAAAAGCTGTTCATCAAACAGGCAAAGTTCAACGGCACGGTGGGTATCAGCAAAAGCAACCGAAAATGCTAGACGTGGATGGCAATGGGCTCGTGGCTTGTCCCGCCTCTTACCACACGTATGGTGTTAACACTGCCTTAAAGCAGGAGTTTCATGGAAGAAAAACAGGGGGACAGGGACAGGGGGAGTTTTATGGAAGAAAAACAGGGGACTTCTTGACAGTGAGTATGACAGAGCCCTGGCACAGGCTGCCCAGGGAGGCTGTGGAGTCTCCTTCTCCGGAGGTCTTCAAAACCCGTCTGGATGCCGCCCTGTGCCCCGTGCTCTGGGTGTCCCTGCTGGAGCTGTCCCTGCTGGGTTGGACGAGGTGATCTCTAGAGGTCCCTTCCAACCTTGAATATTCGGTGATTCTGAAAACTGGACTCTTCTGCCAGCTTTTCTGCTGCATCCTGTAACAGGGAATCTAGCACAAACAGGGCCGAGCACCAGCCCTGTGCAGCGACACTGAAGCCTGAGAGCAGGATTTGCCACATTTCCTTCATCACGAATTTCTCTGAACTGAATAGCACTGGTAGTTTCTTTGCCTGTCTAGCAGATGAATACAAAATCCCTTGAACTGGGTGGTGGGGTTTGAGTCTTGAGGAGAAATATGCTCTTTTCTTGTTTCTCTTGTGGACAGTTAAAAAAAAAATCTATAACCCTCAATTCTCAGGTCCATCTTGCTGTGCACCACTCCTGGTTCTATTAAATAAACTGCAATTACTCATAAAGAAATTACAGCATTCAGTGGGTGAAATATAAAAAGGAATCTGCTTTTTTCACAAACACATAGAAGGACCAAATAAAGTAATTCTGAAGTGCATTTTACAGGCTATCCTTCTGTGACTGTTTAATTGCTTGATTTTCTTTACTGTGCAAAAAGTTGAGAAGTTCTGTTACTAGATTTAAGGATTACTACTGTTACTACTAAACTCTAAATCTTCATTCTCAGGACTACAAATACAAGGAACAGAGACAGGAACAGAGAACGAATCCAATTTTAGATAGCTATCCCATTCAATCCCACCGGAGGGTCTTGGGCTGAATTGCTATCAGAAGCCTTTTTCAGGCAGTAGGTCACTGAAAGAACACACTGGCGACCAACTAAACATTTTATTTATTTATTTATTTTTACGATTGGATTTCACAGAAGGTGGCACAGAAAAAAAAAGGTAACACTACATGAAAGATTAAGGAGTCTATAATATAAAGACTCTTGAAGAGAAAAAAATAAGAGCCTTGGATATTTATCAAAGTTTTATTTTCCAAGTCGATCTTTCATATAAAGCTCATTACTGCTTGAGTGAGCTTTTAAAAAAGCTCCTGTTAAGACTCTTTCTTGACATAAAATCTCACTTGTAGGGGAATGGCACCGGGACACCACTAAAAAGACTGCATTACTCAGCAATGGCAGCTTTAACTAACTACATGCAGACCTTTGCATTCTCCCATGTGCGCAGTCCTTTTTAGCGGCTCTGAGGGAAAAATTCTCTTGGACATGAAGCACTGACACGGGTGCTTTGGCAGGACCTGTGCCTTGAACTAGAGGGACAGCCCCCACCCAGGTTTTGTGTTTCTTAAATTGCATTAAATGCAGTACAACCTCCCTCTAAACCACCGGATTGAGGGGGGCTGCTTTCCAGACAGGTCAGCCAGGCGACTACTAAGAGCACACAACACGCACTACACAAGGATCCTGCAGGGATCTGGTCTGCACACAGCTTCTGCCCAAGCCATCTCTGGTTTCTCCTTGTTTTAATGTGTTATTGATCTCAGCGGCCTTATGCAAATTATAGCGGCATAAGCCAGGGGGGAAATAAATAAATAAAATCAAGCCCAAGTCCTGCAGCCACTACAGCTTTCTGAAAAAGCTGGCTCTCATCCCTCGTTTCGTTTGTTAATAACTGGTTAGGATGAATGTTCTGTGTGCAGCCAAATTTCTTCCTACCACTTTGACGTGTTTGTGACTGCACCACACCGTAGAAGTCAATGAACTGCAGAAAGAACATTTGAAAATTTTTAAACTGTAGCCTTTGCTAGAGCACTGCTGTCCCAGCACTTGGCTGGCAATTCAAACCACAATTAAACAATGCAAGTAAGCAAGAAAGAGGAAGCAGTTTCCTACTTTTTCCTAAGTTCAGCACCAAACAGAAGCAACTCCAGAGAAGGACTTGATGCTGCACAGATCAGAAGGGAAGTTAGACTCTTGCTGGGCAAGAGTCATGAGCGTGTCCTGAATCACGTACAACTAGAGCCCCTTTCAGCTCTGGGGAGGATAGGCTGGAAGGCAAACATGAACCAGCTGCAGTATCTACTCCATGGTTACATCAGGTTTCAGGGATCCAGTGTGAGATTTAGCTTGCCATCCTGCTTTTTCCCTCCCCTTAAGCTTAGGAGGTGTAAAGGGCATTTTTTTCTTCTTTTTCTTTTTCCTTCCTAATGCAAAAGGTTCTTTGGGGATATTCTTTGGGGATAAGCAGATTTTTTTCCCCTTCTTTTTCTTCTGAGATCTAGTTTTCATGGACTTTTTTTGCCTACTCCCAAGGACGTTGGAGTTATCTAGCAACTTAGGAAGACCAGTCCCATTTTCAAAAGGCACTTAGAATTCTACTTTTGCAAGACAAGCAAAGAACAGAGCCCACGGAACTCACTGGAAGTGAGTTTGTGAGTCTAGGACAGAGACTAGTCTCTACGCTCCAAGGTCATCAGCTTAGAAGTCAATTCTAAAACGTCGTCTATAAATTATGTGAACAGAACTTACTATGGACAATTTCAAAATTCTTAATAATAAAACAATGTTAGGTTTTCCTACCAAAACTGTAACTGTGCTGTCGTGAAAAGCCCAGTTTGTAAGAATAGATGTGAATAAAGGCAGAAGTTAGCTATGTTTTCAGGAGATATCCCTCACACGCAACTCTCTTTCCTAAAGCCCTGTTATTAGCATTTCCTTGACTTTCTGGTGACACTAAGTGGCATTTAAAGGTCAGCAAGGAAGAGACTGCAGCTTGCCTGTGAGAGCGATCCGACTTCCCGTTCCCTGTCCACCCTGGTCAATAAAAATTTTTCAAAATGTCAAGTTCTTTCCTTGTGAGGTTGCTACAGCCAGGCCCTTCTTCCGCAGCTCTTTGCCAAAACCCACATATTTGAGCTCTCTGTCTTGTTATGCAATTTCCTTCTGAGAAGTTTTTAAATCAAAGGTAATCAGTTGAGTTGTTTTTAAGCACTTGAAGTACCAGATGTATCAGCAAAAAAAGCAGGCTTTTTCTTTTTTCTAAAATGGAGAGGAAAAAAAAAACCCTCTATCTGAAGAGGATTATTATGTTTCTGAATGCACCATGAATAAATAGGAAAGGTACGACCTGCAGTGGGCAGGCAAATCCGTCTACCCAGTGACAGCAGGATAATTTATGTTTGTTGGAAATGTAAGCACCATTAATGCAAACTCTTATTGACTGACTGCATAATAGCATAACTGATGACAACTGGCCATTTAAAATGCTATGCCAGAAAGGCTGTCAGAGCTACTGCACAAATTCTCTCTCTCTCGTGATACCGAAATCCCTTGTCCTAGTATTAAATCTGACAACATCGAAATTGAATTAATTTAAGCAAACCAAAACCAAAGCATAACACTGTAGTTAGGAGATCACTTGGAGACAGAGATTTTTTCTTTTAAAAAAACCCTCAAAATGTGACTACTCAGATTTTCCTTTTTGACTGGCCACATTGAATGCAATTTGGTTTCGGGAACTCTTGGAGCACTTGGCGCTGACATTACAGCGCTTGTGTTCAGTTTACAGAGTGCAAGAAAAAATGAAAAGTTATTTTGTTTCTCCTCTGTAGATGTGGGGAGGACAGAAGGAAGGAGTTTAGCGTTTACACCTTAACTTTAGATTAATTTATTCTCTCACTTCCTTTTGATACTGGAAAAAAAAAAGATCACCCGACAGTATTAAAAGAAATTAATTTCTGCCATAGTAACTCATACAGTCAATAACACGTTGATTTTATGTCTGACCAAGTAGGGTTTCAAAGTTTTACAGTAAAAGTTTTGCGTTATGTTTTGAAATGTACACAACTACAACCCTATCCTTGCATAAGTCTATTTTTGTAGCTAACTAGCAATTTCCAATCTGCGGTCAGGGCTCACTTGGTGAACACCAGAACATACCTAGCTAAAATAAGAAATGCCTGAAAATGTTCTCTCCTTTGTGTGTCTGTGTGATTCCTCCCTCACCCTGACCATATTCCTTTCATTTTAGCACTGACTTTGCTGACTGTGGAAGTCCTCGCAGTGCCAGGTACCAGGCAGGTCACCTCCTTTTTGAGCTCTCTCTGTTACCTCCCTGCACTGAAGCAGCATTCAGGGACCTTTCCCTGCAGAGGTTGCTAAAGGCCTCCTACCAAACAGGTCCTCCCCACCCACAATCATCCCCTTCGATTGCTTAACAGTCCTTATCATCAGAAAATTGTTCCCTGTGCCTTAAGTATAATCTCCCTTCCTAGAAGTTTATCTGATTACTTCTTGTCCTAACCTTGGCTGAAACACATCTAAAGTGTCTTTGTATCTAGGAGCTCAACCCTGGTTTCCAACTCGTTCCTGCTCATTTTACACCGCCTGTGTGGCTCACTGTCTTTTACAGCATAAAAAACTGCAAGAACAACTATGCTAAGAGGAAGAACTAGAAAAGATCATCTCCAACAGAAAAGCCTTCCAAGTGGATCAGACTGAGGGAGAATGAGATGGAGGGCCTCAAGAGCTGCCTGTGAATTTCTTCATCATGAAGTAGGGTGGGTTTTAACCTAAGCCCCATGCACTGCACAGAAGGCAAAGAGCCTCTCCAACCACAGGGCACTTGCAGGAATTTGGGTTTGCTTCACTTCTTCCGTACAAAGCAATCCTCTAAATTCCTTTTCTATTTACAAATTGAATAGGCATTGAATGACTATCACAAATACCTTTTTTTTTAATGTAGCAAGCCAATCCTCAATTTTGATGTTTAGGAACACTGCACTCTATTCATTAGCAGACTAAGAGATATGTATTGGAAATACATGCACTGCACCTAAACATGCCCATGTTTGTCAATTCATACATATATAAAGGATCAGATATAGTAAAAATGAAGCCCACCTACTAATATTAGTATAGCCTCCTAGTGCCACCTCTGTGTAGGTCACCTGCTGAAGTCAGGTTGAAACAGAAATGTCTGGCATTAATAAATTTAAAAATCCTAACCACTTCGTCTTCCATTTAAAAACTGCACTTAAAAACATCTGATGACTTAAAAGTTCAATATATTTATTCTAAATAGCTTCTATCTCTACATTTCCCTCTTCAGGATTTTTCCCCAAGTCACAGTACACATTGTGCTTAAAAAAAATTCTGTCCATTGTGGCTACCCAGAGTTGTTCTTTTGCCAAGAATAGCAAGACTTGGCCTGCGGAAACCAGCCTGGCACAATGAAGAGTTCAGTCACAGCACCAAGGGAAAGGGACTCGG